ACCAAGTTCAATGGAAGGTTTGAAACTGTCTGTGTTCAAGTATCCCTTCTATGCGAGAAGTGCCCAACAAAGCACGTGATATATATATATATATAATTAAAAGCGTTTTCTAAGTTCAGTCTTTATGAGAAGGAGCAAACATTAAATTATTGACAACTTTCAAGTAAATACTGATAGAAAACATTAGCAACCAGTGGTCAATTATAACTGTTGCAGCATGACCTCTACAATACATTGATTGAACAGGTCTTCAATTTTCAATCCACATATTTGGACTTCGGGTTAGATACTTTTCTATCTGAAAGTTGAAAACATGACTGGACAAAATATTTAGCACGCAATTCCACCTTACCCTATATACAGTATATTTAAATAACTTTTATTAAGTAATCAATCAATTTTATCAAAAATAGCGTTTAGATTTTGAAATTTTTAAAGAATAGAAAAGTCATTTAATGTCATTTTTACCTTAAAGTTAGTTTTGAACAAATAAATTTACCAATGTCACTTAAATTAGAAATACCGATTAAAATGCGTAAATTGTACGTCATAGTAAGTTTGACTTTCTTGGTATATTTAACGATAATGATATTTTGACATTACAACCTAATATATTACCTTTACCATGCATTGAAAAATTACATAACTTTAAAATCATTACCTGTATGTTATATATAGGTTTACTCTTGAAATAAATTTGTCATATTTCAGGACAAATCTCTCAAATATAGTTTCCGAACTATAGATAATGACCTCAAATGTTGATGAATGAAGTTTATTTTTTGAATCCTTTTGATTGATTTGACTTATTACAAATTGCTTTTCGTGTGGGTACTTTGTACTTCTCCACACCGCAGGTTACAGCCGTCGAACTCGGATTTTCATGTAACAAGAAAATATGCAGTTGGATATCGTTGAGGGGGGGTCGGCATTTTAAAAATCGAAATTTGGGACTTCATATTAGTATGTTATATTTCGTATTCCACACAGTGAAAATGAACTGTGACGTCATATTTGATTTCCGTGATATATTCTAAATTTCTGTAATATGTATTCTGACATCATAAACGGATTTTTAAAATCTTCGTAAACTACAAAATTACAGGAATTTAAAACAAGTTACGAACCTAAAAAATGTATTAAATCGTCACGATACCAAAAAACGTGACGTCATAATTCCCATTTCTTAGCACGAGTATGACGATTAGGCCCTAATACGCTGGGAAAGCTTTGCCGATACCAAATGTTAGTAGCTACCTACATGAATGAAAAACTCTTGTTTCCGCAATTAATATCAGAATCAAAATATTGTGGAGACAATTATCTCAATCATTCTCCAAATATTGACCATAACGTAATGTTACTTCAGCAGTCAAATGTGAAATTAGCGGTTTTTCGAGTTAGGAGATTTGACTTGATCGGCAGACTTTAAAGCAGTAATTTCTACAATTAACTTCTATTTGGTTTACCACAGTCACTTAACCAGTATTTATAATAGGCGTTGTCCGTTATATGTCCGCCCAAATATAAATCAAGTAAAACTTGATTATCCTTAAGCTTGAGTTTTCAACGAAAGTAAAATGATCGGGTATACACCATCGCCCATGCATCACGTCATTTTCAAATGTGACACAAAGTAACCCCTGGAGGCGAGAACTCCCTCGTCACGTGATGAGTTACGGCAATTAATTAGCTACTACATATCATCATCGTCAAGATTAGAAATATGTTGAGAGTAAGATTCCTTTTAAGTGAAAAAGTGTTTTATGAGGAAAAAGGGAAATTTTTGATTTGATTTCCATCACTTTTGAAATTATGAAAACCAATTTTATGAATGTATAACTTCCCCGTATAATCCAAAAATGTCCTTTTCAGCAGATTAGTTATTAAAAATTGTCTTTTTATGCTTCATTCCGCATATACATGCAAACCAAACCTCCTGATTATTATGACCAGTGCTGAATATACTTGCATCGTAATCGGCCTATTTCGGAATTACTACTTGGTCGTATTTTGTCTGTAACCAAAAAAAACAATTAAATCTTTATTTCCAAGTATCAGTAGACAAGTGTGTTTAGTATTTATCGTTTGAATCAGGACAAAATTACCGGTTTTGCTATGAGGACATTGATAAACTAATTTCTCTAGCCTGAAAATCAGCTTTTCAGGGTTTTACTAACGCAACCTATTCGCCTTACGCGAGTAGTGTCAATAACAAATAGCACTGTTTTGATTTTATCTTCAAAATTGAGGTAAATAATTTAATCTTAATGGCGATAATAGGATCACTTTTACCGGTATAATGACGTCACAATATTATATGATGAACTGTCTCTCAATCATAATCCATTGATAAAACACATTTTTGGTTATATTTTAGTAGTACTTGCATGGTCCATAAAATCACGACTCTTTGAATCCTTGTTTTGAGCCATCTTGAGATATGACGCGTGATTTGTTTATGGCGATACCAGTTCCAGGTCTTAGGAACTGTGTCTTAAAAACATAAATATTTTTTGTCGTTTGAAACTCAAGTTCATGCTGCAATGTCAGCGTCGGTTGAGGTCTCTTGCAAAAAAAGTTGCGACATGTGTTAATTGATATTGTTTGATATCAATGATATTGTTGAAAGACGAGGTCGCAACGACAGTTTTTCCGACTTCTTAGAATGGCCTCTTGGGGATAGGCGCAGTGAGACGGGTGCAGCCTTCCTGACAGCGAGATTCTACTGTTTGGCCCTATGTGTTATATGCGCAAACATATAACAGAGTATCAAAGTGATATGTCGTATGTTTTTTGGGATTTGAGCCGATATCAAACTTAAAATGTATAAGCGTTTCATTTTAAATCCAAACAGTGTAAAGTATCATAAATGCTATCGCAAAATTAACAACTTTCTTATATATCCAAAAATACTTTTTCAATCCAATCCAATCAGGTACTATCAAAATACATTCTGCATACCCTACTTTTTATCTTTCAATATAGACATCATCCACCGGTGATTACCGTATCTACATAAAGGAGTATATTTGAATAATAATAAGAGTACCGTTGTGAACCGATGAAGCTTTAATATATATATCACAGCATCCACATTTATGTGGAATCAATGTAGTGACAGAGCAATGAATGAATGTATGTATATTCATTATTTAACTTATAAATTATCATCTCGGTCATAATACTATGTCTTTTATTTTCTCCGCAATGTTTTGAAATTTAAAAAAAATCGGTCGCAGATGATTTTTTTTATTATATCTGCACAATACATAAGCAGTAAACAGTTTTCTGTCGATCAGCATATTTTTAAAATAAAGATTCACATCATATTAGTATATGTGTACAGTTTCAACATAATGTGCAAGCGTAGCAAATCTCTCCAGGTGTTTTCAAGAACAATAGTGTACGGCGTAAGTAGAAAATGAAATTTATATTCAGCAGAAATCAAGTTGTAATATGCAAACTAAAATTTGCGCAACCCCCTATATTTGGAAGAGAATAGTTCGGTTTCGTGTGATGGTAAAGCGATTACGTGCGTATTCACAATTTTTAAGATGACTTTTACATCCACATATGCCTTATCACGCCAGATAACGGAACTCTATTCATAGCATTAGTACGTATACCTATAAAACGTGTACGCAAATAAAAAAGTATGCAGTACGTGAATTAGATTTACGCGTAGGAATTTTCCTACCAAAACGTCAAAAATAATATCACGCAAAAATTAGAAATCGTTAGATGTGAAAGGTAATAATTTTGAAATTCAGAATTTACGTCAAAGTCTGTCACGTTGGCAAAGGCAAACATAAAATCAATTCAAATGAATTTGCTCAAATTATTTACGATTAAAATACGTATTTTATACTTACCATATGATAATAATTATTCGTTGAAACACAAACATCACCAAGGTGAAAATGAAACGTGGATTCGCGAAAAACAGGTGTTGAATGCTTACTGTTACAATTACAAACTATATCGATAGCTAAAGGAATAAAACAGAAAGTAAATAACTTCTGAATCTGATGTTTCTTTAAGGAAATATTATCAAAAAACACATCAAACAAGGTTGCAAAACGTTTAAAGTTTCTGAAAATTTGCTAATTTTGCAAAAAAAAAAAATAGTGCGATAAAAGGCGATGACGTCATTACCGACGTCAATAATCTTTTCCAGTACGGAAACGTGACTAATAGAAGCTAAAAACGCCAAACATCGGATGATCAATGGTAATATACAGTAATTTTGTAGTAAACAGCGCACCACACTTTAGGGTTACAGCAATACGATATGTTTTTACTACAATATATACGTCAGTCAACTCACGTTCAGATCGATCAACAATTAAAAAAACGTTCAGCCCTTCTTCAATTTTATTGCTTCATTTGGCAATGTGTTTGTTCAAGGATGGCGTACGAGCAATAATATAACAACACAATATATATCATGGCCCTGTCGGAAAGTTAGTCCCAATATGATTTCGGCTACAAGGGTTGCAGCGACACCTAGTGCTCAGTCGAAGGTCGTTTTTTTTTTTATAAGGAAATCTCTAATTTCTTGAGGTACTCTTACTCGAAATGAATGGATTTCGCCAATTACTGAAAATAAAATGTGAAAATACCAAGTCTTGCCAATGCAGTATTTATCAAAAACAATTTTCTCAAGACTTCGACCATAACTCTATTTTGCTTTTGACATCGCCGACGGGAATGCATGTTCCCGTTTTTGACGTTTGCACTTCGTAAAATTCCTAATGCCACGTGTGGCGGTAAAGCAGAGGCGAGTACGAGAGTATCAAACTTGCCCAGGGTAAGCTACATGAACTTTCGGCCGTTTGGTGTTATATAACAGAATACGTTTTGCACGAGCAACTAGCTTCGCTGTACGAATTCCAATTCCTTCATACACTATGCGTTGAAGCATTACAAATACCAAAATCAATAATATGTCATCAAATCCTTATTGGCAACCCCACCCACACACGAAAAACGAACAATGGTATACATTAATATATATTAAAAATAATCCTTTTATAACAAATTAAAAATGTACTTCATATACCAAGTGAATAATATGCTTCGACTAATGATAATGGACTTCTGATCTTCTGCTGGGTCTAATCAGAATTTCTCCAAAATACTAATTCAATAGTGAAATGAAATATATAAATTACCCGATTGCAAATGTAAATATTGCTCGTCTGCGTACGTAACAACTAGCAAGCCAATCAATGGTAGACGATAATAAGTATCCCATCACCCTAGCCAAAATATGCCACACAAACCATTTAAATTCGGAATAAGCATCGAGTACCATATAACCAATTTAAGGCGGTAAAATTACCCACAATGCAATATTGACGTAGCGAATACAACTTGTGAAAAACAATATATTTTCCTTCTTATGAAACAGCACAAGTATGGCTTTTCGCGTTGACTCCGTATTGCCATTCTTAATAGAATAATATAACAATACGATAAATACTGTATTCATATGGATGCGATTTCCGTTACGAGCAAAACGTGGTCCAACGCTGATTACGATAATATGAGGAGGTTAAAATACCCCACGAAATGATTTTCTCCGATAGATACAAAAACAAATACTTGAAAATTGCCTAGTTGATTAGATATGAAATTTACGATGATTCACAAATTAAAAATTACCTATTATAAGTTTCGACAATAATCGGGTGGGAAAATAGCAAAATTATCCATATATGTCTTGCGGCCATTTTAAGTGATTTTATCGTCTGATTACATTTGGCCACCAATAATTTAACGTAATACCTCTGACCGCGGCAAAAACCAAATTCTTGTTACGGGAAATTTTCTCCTATAAAATGATAGGAAAATGGAATGACTAAGCAATAACAATATCATGACTCAAAAATATCGCCTAATGACGTCACCAGCCCCCCAACAGGTCACGTAAAAAATCACCGAGTTCATATTTGGAAAATTGTTCAAAAGGGCGAACGAAAATAATATATATTTGGGGAACATTGTTCAACAGGTATTAAGACTATTATTATTACAGAATGATTGAAGAATCTGAAATTTTATGTATACAAACATTCATTTGGTTAGAATATCCCACAAAATGGTATACGATCGAGAGGCTCGAAAAATGGCTGATGCCGATCGGGCTTTCAATGAACGAAAAAACACAATCGTGGTAACAACAAAACATGGGGAAACATTAGTGGCAAATATTCATTGAGAATATCGCACAAACGGTTCAAGGTCCAGAGGCGCGAAAACATCAATTTCTGACATATTAAAAATTTAATAACGAAAAATACAGTCGCGTTACCAGAATCATTGGAAATAGATTTATAGGAAATATCTGGTAATTAATGACTAAAAATATGCCCCAAAATATCGATCGCGCAAAATGCTTCGGGGTCAGAGGTGCGAAAACGTTGATATCAGACAGACAATGCTTATTTTATATAATCGCGGTAACCACAATCATGGAAAAATAGTTAGTAACAAACATCGGTTGAACAAAACAAAAAAATTTCCCAAGTAGTACGTGAGAAAAACTAACCGGACAACAATCAGGTAATAATTTGAAATCGTCGAAAACAAGCAAATAAATGTAGTCGTGTTTGCAAAACAAACAGAAAAGTTATCTCTGTTTCATTGACACATTAGAATTCCCCACGAAACGTGACATCTTCCTGATCTGCCGCCATGTTGTTTGTTTGGAATCAAAATGGCGCCACTTTAGCTTTTGTTTAATGAGATATCGCGAGCGAAATTTGATCGACGAAGAAGTAAGAGCGCTTTTTTTGTTTTGTATTTGATATAGGTAGGCAAAAATTTTAATTCCCGCTAATGTCTACGGCAACAAGATAGCTTACAACTCAGATGGCCGAGTGTTACGCGGAATCAATATACAAACGGCACGCGTCGAATGGACCTCTTGAACGATCTTAAAATACTTTCAACTCAAAATTTCAAAACACCACTTTGGACTTTGGAGCATTCCTTGAGGAATCCAGATTCTCCGATTTTTATGTGAGATAGTATATGCTTCAGATTACCAACACATGAAAGAAAATTTTCAGGTATTTCTACTGTCAATGAAATAATATTGCTGAAAAATCAAACGAATCTCGGATATTAGAAAAACTTAATGAAAAAAAAACACTTCAATCAAATTGAATGATACATACTGTATATGAAAATACACATCCATTAAGTGGTGAATGGTGTGTTATAGTCACATATTAGTTATTCATCATGAAATTGCTATTACTTATCGCGCATATTTTCAAATGAGAGTTGAAAAAAATTCCCACGCGACAAAAATAAGTGTTCCTTAAATTTATATTGGGTAGTAGTAATATATATTGTTCTGATAAATAAATGTAAGTTTAGACTTCAGACCCAATAATACAAGGACCAAATTAGAAATAATACTGTTATAATACTAAATAATATTTTCTACAATTTTAGGGTAAACAAATTGAGACTGAATATAGAGATAAATTAAATAGAATTTGAAATACGAATTTATCTAATGAGATATCAGGCATTCACCCCGTGGACGAGAAGACCGGTTGATGAATTCGCATCCAAAGGCAGAAGTAAAATATAAATTTAGATATGAAACGATTACAACATAAGGCAAAACGGTCTATAATTGGTTTTGTAACAATACTTTTGTCACGTGACATGGGTATACTTATGATGATCCTAAAAACAGATCCTTCGGGGAAAGGTTTAGAACGATCAACAACCCCTTTGGCCTTCTTTTAGAACCCCGAGTTTGGCATGAACAACTATCCAATAATGCACCTTCATCTCAGGGCGGCCAGGACGTAAGTGTATGAGTAAAGGCGTTTTTCAGTTTGTGAAATTGAAGGTATAATATATATTCAATATTTTCACAAATAAGTGCTTCGATCGGAATGTCGTTTTCGTCACCTGAAAATATATTAAATATTTGTAATAAAAATGTAGGTTTAGTTTTTATTTTATGAGTAAATTGTCTAAAAACCCCAGTTTTAACTCTAAAATATAAAAAACATAAACCTTTCTCAGCGGTCATTATTATAATTATGTCTCATTTGAACGTAAATTATATTCAATGGCGGGTACTCCAGAAGTGTGTATGGAGGTAACTAATTTTGTTCACCTACTTTACATCAAGTTGTGTAAAGGGACTGAAACCTATGAGCAATTGGCTAACAGACAGTCCCCGAGCTCGTAATAGAACTAAAATAAAGAAATTCGGATTAAAATTATGGCCTAACCCTAACCAGGTACACACACTACGGGAGTACCCAATGGCCGTGTAGCTGAAGCAGATGTGAACTTATTACGGGATAACTTTTTAGGATGGCAATCGATTTGAGGCATATGAATCAGTGACTCAATGTATGTATGCTCTGTTTTATGTTGTTTACATACATACGACTGTAAAATAATCGTTGCCACAAACATCTTGAACACCATATATGGGCGAAGCTTTGAGTTACTGTATTCTTTAAAAATAGAGGTATTTACTAGCATTTGTTTTATTCTTTTTAACATTTCCTTTCCCAATTCAAAATCCTTATTTGAAGACATTGTTTTATAATAAACGTATGCACACGCGAACCTACCGTTTTGCTTTCCTTTTACGCTTACGTTGAGAAGACGTCAACGAGACTTTCGAAATTTCCGTTTTCGACAAAGCGCCATCATTATCTACGTCATATCTGAAAAATCACACATGAAAGCGCATGAGTAATTAAAAAAGATATTGGTTTGTTACCATATATGCAAATCTGTAATCCAAGTTTTTATTTGATTTTGGGTGAAGATGATTTAAACATAGACATAAATTACATTTTGGATAAATGTCAATATCAGATTTTTCTAAACATTCAAACAGGGCCACATAATCAGATTAGAAATTTTATATTATCTGAATTGGCGGTCAAGACACGATTAGAAACCTTCGATTAAAAACTAATACCTAACAAATTGAACGATTTTTTGAATCTAGAATCAGATTCGAAATCTTACCCAATCGAAGTTTTTTTAATACTTAGAAGTTGCGAGTCTGAATCGGACATGTTTTCTAAATTTTCGGTCGTACATTGTTTTATTGCATAAATCGAACCCATTATTACTATGACAGTCAAATAGGCGTTTTGCAAAAATTATTTACGTGGCCAATGAAACTATATATAAGACACCTACTCCCAACTGAGTAGCGAACCCCACAGCACTTTTTCATAGGACTCGTTGAAAGCGTTTAATAAACAGGCCGAGTACACAGTTAGAGAGTTTTTTATCGGAGTCTGGTAATGTGCTATGAAACACCTGTCAAATACTGGTAATACGCCATTTTGGTAAATTTTTCTAAAATGGAACAAAGTTGCACGAAAGATTAAAAAATGGTGCAAGGCCTATTAAGGAAAATAGCAGGAAATTGACGACTTTAACAATGTGCTACTCGGGGTCACATGAACAAGAAACTGGGAGGAAGTTGCACCACATTCACATGCGAAATCAGCATCACAAGACAAAACAATGGAAACACCTTTGAATCAGATTATTGTATTGTGTTAAAAAACACCCGTAACTTTTTTTTATATCTTCTTGTTCAAACTGTAACGATTATATGAAATTATTACGCTAAGAATGTTTGCAAAATCTAGTCCTTATAAAAACCCCTAGTGTAATTTTAGAAACGGCAAAAATCGCATGACCTACGCGTCTTAGTCAGCGATCTAAGTCTACATAATGCACTGAGTCAAATATATGATTTAAAATTCTTGCTTTGCAGTGTATGGGACACCATTAAATCAAGCGATAACCAAGCGAGAAGAGAATGATTGTATGAAATTTATTTTCATTTTAAGTCGCGGTGCTTTCGCGGTGCTGCAATCACCATTTCCTTTATGCAAAATAACGCAATGCAACGCACAGAAACGTGAGCTCACGCGTTTAACGCGCCAAGTTTTGTTTAGGTCGCGAGACGTTACGTGGAAACGCAACGATCGGACGTCGCCGTATATAGCTTACGCAAAGTTCCCTTCCGCGAAATGGCTATAAATAGTCCCATAAATTACTTTAAATTGGTTATAATCGACATTATGTTATGTCTATCGATGGAATATAATACCACGATACTGCGCTGTAAAGTTCCAACCTAAATTAGACGGAAATTGCTTGATTGGACACGTTTCTTGCGTCAAATGCGTCTGCGTGATTCCAAAAATAGATTATTTATGAGCTGAGAGCAATTAAACAAATTTGAAAGCGGGTTATCGACACTTTCGATAGCTAAAATAGCGGCGACCGTGCTCCGAATCGGCGCGAAGAACGATTTATCACCGATTTTGGATTTTTCCGCGAACAACCTGGGGTCACGATTCGCCGAAAGGGAAAAATCTGACATTCAAAATTGACTATAAGAACAAATAATAACAACGATAAAATAAGAGTTCAAAAATTCAATATGCATATAAGGTATTACAAAAAGACGATAATTTATCACTTATTCTAAATATACCTTCAAAGCATCTAGACTATTTTGTGCACGAAGAACGCAGAAAAATGCATATTATGCAAGATGCAAATTTACAAGACATCGCCTATTCTATCGATATGGCAAGACATACTTTATCGAAGAAACTTGATGTCAATTTCGTATCGTTTTAGACTAAATAACGTGATTGAATAAGACTCACACAATCAGTTTCGTCACAAACAAGGGGCCAAAAGCCACGAACCCTTTTCATATTTGTATTTAAAATTACAACTTAGTTAAAGTAATAATATTCAAAATCAAAACGACAGAAGAGATTGCCTTTCTGTCGTTTAGCACACCGAGTTCAAGGGTGAAACTATATGTGACTGCACAATCATGAGATACAGTGAGGAAGCATGAAATGGCTGTCCAAGAAGACCCATATGCATGCTTCTTTTAGACTATAATTACAGTAAATTTCATAAAATTATATGTCCAATATGGGTGTTTTAATATTTGACGTTCAACAGCCGCTCGGGGTGTAACAATCAGGGCAGGCTACACCAAATCACCGTGTATATTTTAGAACAGTGGTTCAACCTCTTGGGAGCCATGGACCCCTTTGACGAATGTAGACACCTTGAATTACCACGACTTATTACCATTGGGTAAAAGTTGGGTTTACTGGGGAAAATTCTTCCATCAAAAAACGCACATAGACAGCCCAGGGGTTATGTTATTTTATCTTCAAATCTCAGTTCGTATTATTATATGTATATTAGTTAAGTGGGGCCTTTTTTCATTTTATTTTGCAAGCTAGATCACAATAACGAAAGCGCACATTTTGTTCTTAGCAATGATTATGTACGCCCCAAATTTTTTTCATTGTTTGGGGCCATTGATTGAGAATGGTATTTTGCAATGCAAAAATATATAAACATCAAACCTACATATCTAACGCGCATACAATTACTACGCCTTTGCTCATACCAATTGATCATTAAGACACTTGGCGTCGAGAGAAGCACTAATAATGTATGAATGATATTGAAGTCTATAATTGAGAAACACGATTATCTAATAATAGAGTTCACCGTGCGTGATTAATCAGTTAAAAGAGACTAAATGAACGAACTGTCGAATTTTCGTGCTCGGGAATTTAAAGCAATATTCAAAGCAAGGTAATTTTCGGATGCGGTATTTGTTTATGATATATGCTGATCAAGTCCACAAAAATTTCCTAATTTCGCCCGAGACGACTTGTTTCGCCGCGACGACCCGCTTGATATTCATTGTAAGGAACAAGACCTATATACTTTACATGTGTATTGGCGCACATATTTTTATCTTCATTTTTTTATTGGAACTTTAGACCTTGACAAACAATAAAAGAACATGAAACCTTACTTGATTGACAGTACGTATATTATTTATCTGCCCCGGAAGTCAGTCCCGTTGTCTATTTCGCGGCCCATTAGGCCTCCTACGGAAAACGCCATTAGAGGAATATAGGGACCATACATACATTCCTAATCCTGTTAATATCCATGATGATTAAATACAACCCTGCAGTTAAGCCAGAATAATTTTGCGCGCTACAAAGCCTTATGGCCAGGTATTTTGTAAGTCTGAAACCAAAAAATACGCACGGCGGTAAAAACAAGTTGCTCCGACTAAATTTAAAAATATCATCTCCAACGATTTGTGGAAACATTTTCTTTTTGTTTAAATTCCATTGCAATTTACAAGTGTGGTTTTGACGGTTCGGGACAAATAAGTAATCTAAGTAAAAGGGAAGTAAAGATTGGGCGCAGTAATGAACATGACATTCGCAACTTCTAGAAACTTGAATTCCTTGAAGAAATATATCGTCAACTGCGCACTTTTTTTGAAAGTAAACTTTGTGTGTAGCTCCGTCGGTGGAAATAAAACAAAATAAAGACGCAAATACATGGACAGTCACAAGACGCCGCAAAGCGTGATTAGTGTTGCATTGCGTTTGTTATGGTCTTAATTGACGAATGCGTATTCTATGTGGGTTCGTCCTGTAAAGAAGAACAGATGAGCAGGGCTGCGCTTAACCGTAGATGACCCACGCTTGATAAGATGCTAACAATTGGAAAATAATCCAGATTTATTTGACGAATGCGTATTCTATGTGTGTTCCTTCTATGTAGAAAAACAGTAGATCAGGGTCGATTCAGGGTTCAGTTTTATCTGAATAATTACAAAAAGAAGGTGCTCTTAACAAGTTGGTATCTGAATATAGTTTGAAGCAATAGTCATAAATGTGTTTCAATAAAGAGATAGAAAATCCTCTTTTTTTGAAACAGCTTTGTGTCCTTTGGAGATTAAGCATTTAATATGCAAAATGCTATTGAAATAAAGTAATTTGTCATGCAGTATAGGCCACAGTTGTATTACAACTTCATAGAATCCTCCATGAATTGGAATGCCTCAGCACACGAGCGCATAAGAACGCAGACCAAATATTTGGAAAAATCTTAAATACAAAGATAAATATATATATATAAGAAATTGACGGCATACAATTCCTGCATATTATCCGAACATTTCAAAACGACGTTCGCAATAGAAATGAAATACTACCTAGCCATAGGATTTGGGTAAAACGGCAGGTTTACATGAAAACCATAACGATGGTTCGAAACTGTCTAGTCTAAGAGTGAAAAAGGTAGTAAGTGAGATTACGGTGAGATGTAATTCTGCAAGTCATGTCACGTCATAGTTCCGGACAGTTTAATACCAATCAAGAATGCCCCAGGCAAAATACAAAACTTCTACAGGCGTTTTCGACTGAAACATGTATAAAATCATGTCACGGCGTTCATGAAACGTGTCCTTATGATTTAAAAGTTATATTTTGAGTTTGACGCCATTTTATTGATGTAGCACTCTTGGTTCAGTACTCGGATTGAATGTATTGATGAGATTGCAACCAAATATATCTTAATCGCTGGCAATTGACAGCGCACACAAGCATGAACTGTCACGTGATTACTGAATTGTCGCATCACAGTCGACTCGACAATCACGTGGCTGGGAGAAGGACGCAACTACTAACAAAGAAAACGAACGACCTTTAGTTTAAAAACCTCAACAGACAATAACGAGACACATTGCATAATAACCCATTATTATCTCAAAATACCAGATTAAAATCATAAAATCAGTTAAGTTTATAACATCTGAATAATTGAACATCATGTATTTGATACCACACTACACATTGTTGTATAATCATGCTTCGTCACTATTGGCTTATTATTTCAATGAATACAGACTACTTGTTGGCTGCGAGTGGGATTGTCGTAAAACGTATTATAAAAGTTGGCATATAATAAACTAGGGCTCAACAACTATTTGAGAACTTCTGGACTATAAATTACTACACTTCTCTCAAATATGTCCTTTTCATAATGAAATAGCAATTTTGGACAAAATAAAATTTTATTATCACACAATAGAATTTTTTTAAACCATGAGTACTGATTTTTTTTACAAATCTGCCTAAATCATAATGAAATCATTTTTTTATGAAATTATATCTGAAATTGATCAAATTCGGCACATTTAATGATATTGGGATGTTTAAAATTCTTTTATCACGGTAAATTAACAAATTACAGTCTGCGACATTTTCATCAAAGTCCGAATTCCTGAAGCAACCAATTTACAGTGCTTAATCGTTGATGAAAACTCCTTGTTAGCAGACCAAACGCTGCAGAATGAAATTTGTGAAAGCCCGATGCAAGTTAACTACTCAAAATAGCCGTTTAGATTTTGCTACAATTTTCTTGCAGTCAGTGCCCACGATCCGCTCATAGCATAAACGCAGAGAGATAGGAAGAGTTATTGGGTACACTTCACACCTATCAATCTCTCTAGTTTTGTTGTACACTGAACCAAGGCTGTAGAAACGGAGTCGTATTTTCAAACTTGTCGGGAGTCGAAATTACGGGCTTTCAATGGTCACAAGTAAGAACGTCATTGTCCAGGGTCGTAACCAGTAAGCAGGTATCAGGTAGTGGGTCCGGAGGCAGGAAGACGTGGGTTTTCAATAGTCGTTAGGCTTTTAATCGTTTTTAATAGTGTATTAAAGAAGGCTTTCATACGCCAAAAGTTTTTATTAAAGCTTGAGTTAGAGTCGAAAATTTCTCATTCCGGAGTCGAGTATTTTATTTTTTATTAACCAGCCGTCGTCGGAGCCAAAAGTCCTGCACTGAACACATTTCAGACAATCTAATTTCAAAAAAGTCACAAACAAGAATGATTGTGTGATATGGACATTTGTAAGTATAGAAACTGAATTAGCCATTTCTTGTGGAGATATCACATCTTTGAATTTAGGTACTAAAAGGGACGTAACCAATGGTTATAGGGGATTAAATCGTGCATAAAAGCCATCGCGATCAATGCACGAGAGCATTAAATCAACATAACCTCAAACGATATTTTTTTCTCGACGTCTAGAATTAATCAGAATAAACGCTGCAATAGAAAAACATACACAATATGCAACGTAATCACGAATCCTGTTTCTTTTTTATCTTGAAAATGCGGCGGTGTCTCACTTCTTAAGCGTCTCTTTGTATCTTTTTTATAGAAATCAAAACATTGCGACAGTCACAAGACGCCACAAAGCGTGATTAGCGTTGCATTGCGTTTGTTATGGTCTTAATTGACGAATGCGTATTCTATGTGGGTGCCTTCTTAATAGAAAACAGATTTGCAGGACCGCGCTTAACCGTAGATGGCCCATGCTAAAAAAGATCGTATCAATTTGAAAGGAGTCCAGAGTTCAAAAATATATCCCAGTGGGCATTCATAACACTATTAGTTGAATTGTGGGAATGTTGAAATTTCGAAAAGTTTTATCTGAAAATAATTACAAAAAGGAGGTGCTTTTTGCCAAGTTGGTATCTGAATATCATATGAATAGTCACAAACGTGTTTCAATAAAGAGTTCAAAATTCTATTTTTTATGTTGTGTTTTTTGGGTTAAAGCATTCAATATGCAAAATGCTATTGAAATAAAGTAATTTACTCATGTAGCATAGGCCAGAGTTGTATTACAACTCCATAGAATACTCCATGAATTGAAATGCCTCAGCACACGAGCCTCAACTTATTGAGGAAACGAGTCACTGTTAGAACGCAGGCGAAAGGAACTCCCTCCGTTATGAAACAATGTAAATTGGTCGTATACTGCTTTTACATATAATTTCCTGCGTTAGATGCATAGATACACAATTTTCATGAGCGGGGATTTTGAAAACGTCGCGTTAAGCATCGACATACTTTCCTTTTATTCATAGTTTCCTGTTGTTACAGTTGCGTTTCGGCGAATCTAGGGTAGATATGTGAATGCATCCCTAGTTTAAAATGCAAATTATCTATTATATAATGTAACTGAAGTTTGGTAGGGACTATGGAATGATGTGTAATACAAAATTTGAATTTGTTCCTAAGTCAAAACAAACGACTCGATCGATATCTGATACTCTATATAACCCATTAACCCGTATCATATTTCGAGTTTCATTGTTTTGAAAATTTGCAAGCTAGTTTCTTCGCAAACCCATCGTTGAGTATTACTGACGGCTGACGCTATTCTCTTATTTTCTATGCCAATTTATACAAAGTATAATCATTTTGGGAGCCAATTCAAAACCAAAAAAACAATGACATTCTAGAACAACGAAGTTGTATAAGGCGAAGTGCTACATGTTTTTACAGTCTCCTACGAAGAGATAAAAAAGATGGAGGACTCAGAACATGGAAAATAAAATTAATAGCAACGGGAAAATTCGAAAGAGCTGTTTCATGGACATAAATTAGATATAGATTGTTTGCTTAGAGATAAATTTATTATTGAAATTTGAAAAATCCAAATGTTCTCAAAATACCATGGTTGATATGCCATACTGCCAGAAAAAAAGCGAATCTTCAGAAAGTTGTTTTGGAAAAAAACGAGCAAAAATACTCTCGTAGCTTTCTCGATGTATACTTGGGGTGAATATTGCTTCAAACTGTGAAGAGGGATGAGGGTACCAGCTCAAAAAGCTCATTTGTGATATTTTCTAATAAAATTTTTCCCAAATTTCAACATTTGCCCCTTTAACCTCCATATATGGCACGGTCCTAAACACTAAAACAGCAAGCATTCGGTTATATTCAGAGTATAAACTAAAAAATGCTCACTTTAACAGAGAAGGGATTAAATTCTCGTCAATTATTGCTATAAGTTCATCCTTTGTTAATTTTCCATCTGAATTTTTATCCAATTCAATAAATCTCTTTTGAATACCTAAAACATAACAGATGTCAATTATTATTGCTTCAACAACAATAAATATAATGTAAAATCAGTATATCACACCAAAGCAGCGCATATTTGTCAAAGCGGTATCGTCTGCACATGGTGAACAAATTATCAATAATAACAACTCTCTGCCGCCAACTAGTGTTTCATGTATGATCTTATCGATCAGCTGTTAAAAACAATTTAATGGAAAACGTACAAATCAATGAACTTTTGCCCCACTTGGAAGATTTCGACATAGTTTAAAATTTACGACTAAATAGCCAGGCAGGTTATAGTTGTGAACTCAAATTGCAAAAGGAAGAATGTCCACAAAGTTTCTTTCTTTCCAATTTACAATGATGACGTGCATAGTTCTTAATAGTTGAGCAAATGGCGTTTTGAAGTGTTGTTAATATGCAGTTAATAGGATTTTTATGAGGTATTTAATATTTATAGGTCCAAACGCTCCGAACAAGACCCTGCAAAAGCAGCCACAGCTGGTTAAGAAGGTACTACAGTTTTCAATTCAACAAATTTCCCTTCTGTCTGCATGCCATCAATGACAAAGGAAGGCTCGTGCGAAAAAGCGGGTGAGAGCAAGGAGTGCGGTTCTGATGCCCACCTTGCAATGAGTTTTCTATTTTGCAATGTACCAGCTCAAAAGTCATTTCAAACCTGTAAATATGTCGACCAAATTTTGCTGCTTCTGCTTAGGATTAGCATCTTCGATATTTGATGATTTTATATCTGCTTCATTACTTTCGCTTCCAAGCTCTCTGCCACCAGGATCAGGTTGTTTATTCTGGGGATTTTTGTTCGAAACTTCGCTTTTTATCGCAGGAGAATTGTTCTCTGCTCCAACTGTATGTTCAATTTCTGCTTGTTCATTTTTTACATTATCTTGTTGAGCGTGAGAAGCTCCAATATTTTTTGGTTTTTCTTGTTTAATAGTACTAGAACCAGTTAGTTTACTTTCTGAATCTTTTGAATTGGCATTGATTTCCCGGTCTGGTGGTCTATCAGAATTATTATCAATGTTTTCAGATGATGCGTGACCTATAAAATGCAAAGATATAAAATAAAGTTAAGTAATAATACAGAAAAAATCCTATATATAAAGGGGTGATGATTAAAGATGTACAGACTTGCAGCTAAAATAGGTTCAAAACGACATAAAAAGGTCAGTTTTGAGAACTTCTGGGCTTAAAATGGTAGAAATTTAGTATGGAACTTTTTTTTTTTATATACCGCAGTAAAGATAACTATGATTGATTTTAATGACCACACAGAAGTAAATTATGAATTGAATATACAGTGATACATTGATTCATAACATGATACATACATGATACATAACATGATTCATTCATGATTGGTGTTCGATTACTATTTGTCTGAGTAGTGAAACTTTTTTGCCATTAGAAACCATGGTAATTAAATTAATTCGTTCTTATGCTTTCCAAAATACCCAAAATATTAACAAAACAAGTTCCTGGACAATAATAAATATTCAAATGTGTACATAATAAAGATGAAAATATGAAAAATTTTGTAATAGTTATTGTACAAGTAAATTTTTGTGAGTTTTATGGGATTCGTTTTTTGTGTTCGATGACTTAATAAAAAATTGCACACCTTGTGGTAGTTCCGCTTTCGCGTTAATCGTTAAGATTGCAGTTACGATAGTGTACTGTAACAGTACCGCAGCATTTTTGACTAGAATGTTTTGGTCGATTACCGAATTGTTCGAGTGTCGAGTCGTTCAACTACCGAGGTATCACTGTACAAGTGAGAACCAGAAGGATATTTTGAACATCAGATCACATGTCAGTCAAGTTACACCTACCATAAACATTGGACATGAGCATAGTGGTGAAAACTTTAGACCTAACTATGATGGCATCGCAATTTAAAGTTCCATGTCAAACCGGAATGATTTCGATCCTTCCAAGCTATAGTAGCTACTTACCTATCAGTGGCTTCTTGTGCAGAGCTTTGCTTGGAGCAAAAGACATATAAATATGTCATTAAAAAATATAAAAGACTATTACATAGTAGAAAAATGATGTGGAAATTAGCTGATCAAATGGCTTGATTATGGATTGGAAACTGGTTAGAAATACCTTGGTTGAACCCTCTTAGTTGTTGGTATCAAAAATGCCAATATTTTATGGTAGTCTTTGACGAAAACAAAAAACCTTAGACTGTAATTAATATAATATATTTATAATATCATCCCACCCATCTTTTTATCTTTCGTTTCTTCCACTGATGAAGCAATTTGAGACAGACGAGACTGAAGAGCTGATATCTCTCTTGTTATGCTGCCTAATGTTTCATCCTCTGACTGCTTTTCCTGTGAAAATATTGAATATGATTCCAATTTGAAAAAAGTACTAAATTTTAGGTTCTGAATGCAACATTTCAGAAATTGATTTTTTATGAAATTTTTGTCATTTTACAGTAAAAACTATAATTTATGTTAAACTTGGCGCAGCATAATCTAAAATTCATTGGAATGTAATATTATATGCAGTTTCAGTATAGGTTATCCCAAAAAAACAGAACCAAATTGATTTTTTAGGAAATTTTTGGCATTTTACAAGGAAAACTATAATTTATGGAATTGAGATTGACGCAGTACAATGTAAAATTCTTCATAATGTAAATTTGCATGCAGTTTTTGTATAAGTTTTCTCAAAAAACAGAACCCAGGTCATTTGCAACATATTCTACATAACTTTTGTGCAAAGAATCCTAGATTATCAAAACTTATCATACACAGCCAAGAGGTTCATGTGTTAAATAAATTTTCTTCAATTTAGTAGAAGTTATTAAGAAACTTATGGGCTTTCGTTTGGGTCACCCCGTTTAATATTATTCCAATAGTTCGAGGAACTGGCTTGTTGTAGCATTGATCAAATATAACAAGAATAAAATTAATCACTTTGAACCATAGAATTTTAGGAAACTTGTTGGTCAGTTAACATTCCCTTGTCATAGACTCAATAGTAGATCAGATAAAAACATAGCAAGGAATGAATGAATACAGCTGATGTCACAATATGTTATCTACCAAATACTATCGAATAATAAATTCTAAGCAGTCTAAAAAAGGTTATTTTTTTCACATAAACAAGTCATAGCGGTTAGCAGTGGTTCTCAATCTTTTTTCTTTCGTGGCCTATTTCCGTTGCACAAAAATTTTCGTGGCCCACTAACTTTTTATTGCAATGGAAAAACTACAAGAAAAATCAAAATCGTTCTGCGAAAATGGACACTTTTTCTTTAATAATCAGAATGAAAATTACCATTCAGTAGCAGAAAACAGCATTGGTACTACAATCAAAATCAAGAATGGTGATACATATAAAACTAGCAATTTTTAATAGTTCTGTGGTCCACCTCAGAATCTTTCCATGGCCCACTGACTGAGAACCAGTAGATTAATGGAACTGTTTTAGTTGCGTCAAATGTACATAAATGCCAATATCAAACTGTCCTTCGGTTAAGGGCTCCACAACTTCCAGGTAACTCCTTAAAAGGGTCCATGGATGGCATTGAAAAGGTTGAGAACCACTTGTACTAGGCAGTGCTGATTTTTGACCGGAATTTTATTATAATATATTATAGCATATCAATGGTTGAAAATCATCTTTACATGGAAATTTATACAAAAACAATGATTTTTGACCGGAATTTTATTATAATATATTAAAGCATATCAATGGTTGAAAATCATCTTTACATGGGAATTTATACAAAAACAATATCTTAACATCAGATTATTTCTAACAAATATATGACTCGAAATATATTTCGAATACACTTTAATTCAGTTCATTTGAATAACTGTATATAATTTATGAGTAAATATGTATCTTCATTCCTCACCCCATAAGTACTCCACAAAATATCAATAAAATAACTATTAATTGACAACTTCAAATATAAAACATCAGGAAAAAAGAGTTTAACTAGATGATGATACCTTTTTCAAATTAGATATATCTTGTTGCAGACCAGATATACGAGGATTCAGGCCTTCCCAAATTTGATCAGCTGATGTTTTTTGTTCAAAATCATTCACAGTGTGTTGCAACTATAAAAAAGCGAAGATGTATCATTTACTTAATAAATCCAAAGATGTTTTCGATATTTCTTGTTCAGGCTTGAAACTCCTGAAAATTATTATAGGAACAAATGATATATATCTGAATTTGAAGTAAAATGCAAAAAAATTTTTGTGTATAAACTAATGTCTTCATAGAATTCCTACAGTCAAGAACGACCAAAGCCAACTAATTTACTATTCCAAATACATTCTGAAATAATATTTGAAATATAAAAATATTGCATATATTGGCCTATATTGGGTCATGTGCAGCAAATATTCAGAAATTAAACTCTTTGAAGACTTTAAATTTTCAAGTCAGGGGTGTGCAACCTGCGGCCAACAGAAAAGTGTCGATATTGAATGGTGCGCGCCTGCGATCAAGTTTTTATACGGTATGGAGTACGGTAATTTCAATTCTTTTGCGTTACAAAGCCTGCGAAGCAAACAACGCATGCCATAATATCAATAACTAAAATTTTTGTTCTTGCAACTACTAGAAAGCTTATGTTAATTAAATAAAGATGTGGCCCACGGTTTCATCCAGGTATTTGTATCTGGCCCTCCTGCATTAATGGTTGCACACTCTGCTTCAAAACGATAATTTTTCCAATTAAGCTATCTCCCATTATAACTAAATATCACAAATTTAAAATATTGAGTGGAAATAAATTGGGATTGATTCGAATATCACATTCACTTTGGACATCCCCACCACAGCTCATATAATGATTCAGAATGATTCATATAATGTTCAGACTATTTCGTGTTCACTATTCTTTGGACACAAAGTGTATATATGAATCGTTTTGTCATTATGCTGTTGTTCTTGCTGGTATTTTTCTTCAATTTGTTTCAGTATAGAAAAATTGCTTTTTTTTATTAACTACCTGATCAATTGTGAAATTCTACGTGGTAAAAGATGTTTTTTCCCCTAAGGCTTCATCACTTTCATTTATTTCAAAACTTTCTGTTGGCTCTATGTGATTTGTTTTTCACTTCCAAATTTCGTGACATGTTTTGAAAATTGATACAAATTATTTGTATCGGTTTTTCTGAAAGTTGAGATTTTTTGATGGTACCGGTACTTTAAAAAGTGAGGTAGACTAATGCAGTGGTTCCCAATCTTTCTACCCTGGCGGACCGGTAAAATTAAAATAAATGTACTCGCGAACCGGCAAAAAATTGAAATGACTGGTACAGAATAGAATAACATATATTTGCGTAATACAAATCAATGTCGGGCATTCAATATGCAGCTAGACAAAAAAGGCACACTTAAAAACAGCTCATCCGAAGAAAAACTATCAAATGTGTCGGCTCATTGGGTTTATCATACTAATCCCACTGCAGTTGATCGATGCTTCAAACGAAATGAATTTACATTACAATGAAAAAGTCGTTAACTTGGCACCAGGCTCAAAATCCTACTTTGTCTGCTCAAGATACTGAAAAAGATGTTAGCGGCCCATGCGTTTTTGCGCGCCTCGTGACCACCTGCCGTATTTTACTGGAGTATTATAATTTTCTTGACTGTTTTCTGGTTTGAACAAAGAAATATGCATAACGTTTTATTTGGATGGTCATATTAATCAGGAAAAGCATGCAGAACAGAAAAAGCACGCGTGCCAATTTTTAGGTTTCTGAATCTTGCGAGATTTGATGGAGCGCATTCACGATTAATCGGAGCCAAAAAAGCAAAAGTGTGATTACTCGGCGCCTAGATGTCGCGGAAGACGTCGCAATATGACGGCGGAAGAGAAATTGCGTAATAACCCAACGCAACCTCGTAAAGAGATCGGAGCGCATTCGAGATGAATCGGAAGCGAAAAAGTATGATTACTCGACGCCAAATTGTCGCAATATGACGGCGGAAGAGAAATTGCGTAATAAACCAACGCAACCTCGCCTTCGGTACAGCGATTTAGAAGGCATAAAATAACAAAACACCGAAATTTCTCGCGGACCGGCAGCGGTCCGCGGACCGGCGGTTGGGAACCAATGGACTAATGCTTCGCTTTGGTCTTAGTGTCCATATATATTCATTTGAGCATTTCTCTTATGTTCCAATATGTAATAGTTTGAACCTAATTTGAAACCATCATGAGGACACACATGCAAGAATATTGTATTAAAATATTTTCGTTTCAAAACTTTGGTTACCGGTATACAGTATGATGCTTACAGGCAACACCAAAAGTATTTTTATGCTCTTTCGCCATAACTACTATATGCGAGCCAAAATGAGAGTAAAGTCCCATGCTATTGCAGTACATACGTGGTCTAAATAAATATCATGTGATTTGACCATAGACAAATACAAAGCAAAAATGTTGTAGCATGTATGTGTAAACATATCTTTTATGCATTATGAAATAACTCAAATGGTGATATACTATTGTTTGCAAATATGTCCGTAACTCTGCTGGCAGGACCAAAACCGAATATTTTTAAATATGAAATATTTAATATATTATAGATTGGGCCATGTTCAACAAATAACAGGTATGAGTCAGGCTGACCCCAGAGGCGCAGAGCCCCACATCAGGGAAAAAATAAAAACAGATTCAGCACATTTGGAACAATTTCCAGAGAGAAAAAGTTTTATGCAAAGTTTTATAAATTTTCTTTATTTTCAAACAAAACTATTTCGAAATACATCTAGAATCATAATTTTAAAATATGGAGTATATTTAATTTTTTTTTTATTGCATTCGGTTTTCCTGTCTACTCATAGCTGGTCCAGAGTGGAAATAATCTTCTAATATATACCACTTACCATAGTAAGATTGGCAGCAATTTCTTGTAAAGTAGTGTTAATTTTAATTATTCCATCCTCAGTATTCTGTTTAGATGATGACACAAGATCAGTCAATTGCTTCACATTTGAATCTGATGCCTAAATAACAATGAAAGATATTGTTAGCATATTTCTTATATAATATTCAAACTATTGGATGAATCCATATCCACTGAACAAATATTCGGTAAAACATCTCAACCAGGGTGTAATAAATTGGGTAGATAATAATGGGCCGAAGATATTCCGACACTTTTTTTGTAAAATATTAGTTCCTAATTATGGTCGAATAAAAAAAGATAACTAATGTTTCAGTTGGCAACATGTGATATCTGAAAAAATTTGAAAAAAATATGAAGGTTTACCTAAATTATAATGAATTTAAAAAATCAGAGACAGTAATGCCTAACATGGCTTTATTTCAAGTGTTTCCTGACATACAGAATGGCTCAACATCTAATATTTATAATGTTAACACTCTATGCAATGACAATTATCAACACAGAAAATTAAAGTATTAAATTTGTAATAAGCAGTGACTTGAAAGAAATAAAATAAACCATTTTGGATGAATTCTCCATATAGGCCTCCATTCCCCATCACAAAAAAAGATTGTAATGATTGTATATAGTAATGATTTAAAATCATGATTTTCTAATTCTATAATCTAGTTCAAATTATGATTTATTGAAATTCAATAAATTCAAGCAAATAGGTTCTGAATGTGAGAATTGATATCACTAATTTGTTTTATTGGTAAGAAGATAAATACCATTTTATCTAGATTTTCAATTGTATGACACATTGTATATTATAATTATTTGATAAGAATTTGTTGTCAACACATTAGGTACCGTAATGAATTTTCAGATTAGTAATGTTATTCTTGATAAAAATTATTCTTGATTTATTTATTATCATAGAACAGTGTTTCTCAAACTTTTTTGCCCTGGAACATCTACGCTTTTTATCCCGCCTCGCGGATAAAAGTTAGAAGGTAAAATTGACGGTGGTTTACGAAAAATTTAGCATATGATATATTTGAAAAGTTTGCTGTAAACTTGACGAATAAAAAATTAAACCGGCGGTTAATAATAATATTGAACGGTTAACAAAAACTCTATGCTTTCCAGCCTGGCAAGAAGCATGTCCAGCTGCTTTTTGTCAGTTGACTTGAGGGGGAAATATTTATGACCCAGAGTCATTCAAGTACGACTGAGATCGCCATGGTGACCAATTTAGTCGCATTTTTTATCCCTGTTCCGCGTAACGCTCCGAAAATAAGGAATGCTGTCCTAGAACTTCTCTAGTTTAATTCACCAATTTTATTGAATTCACTTTGTCAAAATTGGAAGACAGCCATTCGAATTCCTGAAAAATCGAGTATTGACATTTTGCTCAAGGCAAATCCCCAATCTGAACTACCAGATAACACTGATGGAAGACAAAGGTTTTCGAACAAAATCCATTGGATGATTACAGATCAATTAAACACGATATTCTATGGGAAACTTACTTCTGCTTTTATATCATCTATTGACTTCAATATTGTATTATATGAAGCAGTTAATATATTTTGTGAAGTATTTATTTCTTCAACTGACGTTCCCATATTTTTCATTGAAGACTTTATCTCTTCGATTGTCTGCAAAACATAGATACAAATTCTTGTCTTTCAGTTAACTAAATTTACTTGGAAAAGAAAATTGTAAATGCCTTGGAAGGTTAATTTCAAGAAAATAATGTGCCACCTCAATGGATAGCTCACTCGGAAGTCAATAGCAAATGTCTTTCATTGGCTTACACAAATGTTAATCTAGTACATGGAGTGCAGGTTCAAATCAATGTTGAATGCTTATGTGCAGGACAATTGCTTTGTTCATCACGATTTTATGATGGTTTCCAAATCACATACAACGGTATACTGAGGCCAGTGAGGCACCAAACTAATTTAGTAATTCAGATAGACATACCGCTATAATAAACAGACAAAATCTATTTTTCGTCAGTTTTTGCTAATAATTCGCCACTGAATGGGATTGTGTTAGTTGACCAATTGGGACTGGTTGTAGTCTCTTAGTTCTAAATAGGGAATTGCAACATTATCTTACCATGTATATTGTTTCAATATCAATCATTGCATAACACTTGATGGAAAAATTGTTTTAGGTTGAATGAATGTGACTCAGCATTTAATGACTATTCGATGGATATTTTGTTCAAAAAACAATTACAGGTAGTTCAAATGCAGTCACTCACGAACCTTTTGAGTGAAGTTGTGATCAACTAAATGAAGTGCGGAAAAAGAGCTACAAAAACTGTTTACAATTATGGTGGTACATTATGTTTTAGTGAGTACAGACTGACAAGAGACTTGGAAAAAATCAAGGTAATAAAAATCAGAGAAACAGCTATAAAGTAGTGTGTGCATATTCAATGATACTCCCGTAGTATATGTACCAGGGCAAATACGGATTAGTGTTAGGACATAATTTTATTACAATTTTCCTTAAGCTTTCCGGTTGAACTAAGAATATTTTAGTTCTATTACGAGTTCAGGGACTGTCTGCATTAGCCAAGTGAATATAGCCATGTCAGTCCCTTTATACAACTTGATGTTAAGTAGGCGAACGAAATAAGTTACCTCCATATTGATACATACACCTCTGGCCTATTCAGTAACTACAACGTTTCAAACGAAGGCCTAGAATTGCCGAAGATTTGTCCACCTGTATTAAATGCTAATAAAATGATTACCTTTTTAACATCCTGAGCTTGGGTTTGCAATTGATCTAACCTCTTGTTTGGAACAACGACTTGATCCTCAAACTGTGAAAAAAAAAGGATTCAGGTGTAGGGATGATTAAGCGATTCCATTGTAAAGTGCCAAGTCATCAATATCGAGAGATTTATAATAATAAAATTCCTTATACCCCTTAGGTATTCTGATGCAAACGTATCAAATTACAACAGCTAACAACAAGAATTAGTCAATATGCTTTTTGCAATTTTTTTTGGCATACTAAGAAAGGCTTATTCTCATGACCATCAAAAATCAGTGTAATTCTTCATGTGGAATTGTTGGGACTTACAATGTACCAAATAATTTTCTCAGATTCATGCTGCATGACAATCGAGAATATTACTATTTCTCTAAATATTCCTGATAGTTGAATTGAATCATATTTCAAATGGTCGTTCTAGTTTTTTTGTAGCAGTAATCATCTCGTTCAAAAGTATTAAAATTTATTTTACAATATTGTTAGCGTCTTTCACTTCAAACAAGGCTCTGGGATTTTGGAAGGAACAGTTGAGCATTGATGCCCTATATAACATTCAGAGTATACGGCTAGGCAAACAACTTGGCAAATAGAAGTATTGCAAACATGCAAGTGTGTTTATTTACTTCAAAACGAGGTCAAACAAGAATACTGAGACTGAGACGGAAGATTAAATAGATATATACTATGCAGTACATTACCTTTTGAGTCAATGTAGCAAGTTTCTCTGCAAGAATTTTTACACCATTTTCACCATCATTCATGCTCGTCATATCTTTCTGCATGTCAGTCATGGTTTTCTTCATATCTTCAAGGGCTGATGGTTGATTACTTTGCCATGTTTCAACTGAAATAGAAAATTTCCTATTATTAAAAAGGTTAATTTAGAATTTAGTATTTTAAGTCTGATTTGCAATTCATATAAATTTAAATATTCCAACGCAATGGACTGTGAATGCAGCAAATGCAAATAGGGAAGGGAAGCAATATACCATAATTTTAACAAAAGCAAATTTCAATACATATCGGATTAGAAATGTAATCAGCGAAGATTGGAACCAAATAATGCAATGCTTTTTAATAAGCGATGATACGAGTTCTTTCTTTGTGCATTATGTAAACTTTGAATCAGGGAAACTATATGACATGAAAAATATGTTGGATATTTTGTACAAGTCTCCTTCAGAGAAAAAAACACCCCCGCCACCGCTGGAAATAAAAAATTACCGGTAGTAATTATCCAGTTACAATGAAATCGAGGGATAAAAATGCTAGCAATCAAAATTTTCAAATCGTTCTTAACCCGAACCCTAACTGGATAATTATTAATTTGTTATTCTAAAACATGACAGGTTTTTTTTTTTTTCAAATCTCACATTTTTTGCATTAGTGGCGGGGGCTTTGTACAAAAGATCCAATATCGTTCACAGTCAATAAAAAATGCTGCTGCATTGACTTAGTCTACCATATAATATGCTTAAAAACTTTAGGCTTCGTAATCTAAATGGAAACACCTTTACTTCAAACATGGAAGAGCAAACAAAAGATATTTGCTATGGTATTGTGACAGAAGTAAACGAAAACATAGATTTGGTATGACAACTGACTGAAAAGCACTCAATTTATGTCACCACCAATGTACAATCATTGTAAAAACAATGCTCAGTCATCAATATTTTTGCATCACCAGCAAACATCCATTTGTAAGGTAGTTAAATCATGACAAATATATGGTAGATGGTCATACACATTATATTATGTCTCTTTTGAATAATTTTTGTTCAGTAGGCTATACATGACACTGACAGAATCTATAAATTTGCCATGTACAGTTAAACTTCATTTTCGACTAAGATCAAGGGCATATCCAGGGGGAGGGAGGTTGGGGGTCGGAACCCCTCCTTTTGAAAATGTAAAAAAATAAAAAAGCATTTTTTTGTATCATACGTAACAATTTTACATAGCTTGAAATGCTTTTAGACACTCAAGACCTTTGAAAACCCACGTTTATGCTAAATTACAGAAAGTATGAGTAAGATATGAGTACCCATATCAAATAGTACAACTATAATTTCAAGCATTTAAATATTTAAAAAGCTAATTGACCAAGAAACCAAATTTTATGACTTGAACATTACTGTCTTGCCGAAAAAAGTTCAACTTACCCACGAGGCAAAAATAATTATTTTCAGTTCCAATAGGAGTTTTATAATTATAGAAAGAGATCCCAATTCCAATAGAGTTTCAAAAGTAAGAAATCACATATAAAATAAAATACCAAAAAATAAATGGAAATTACGTTTTGCAACTTTATCTCTCAATTTTTCTACATCAGTCTTCAATTGCACTTGCATCCATACAATACCAATACATGCAGTAATGCAGGCTGCAACAAGTGAGAGGAAACAAGCAGGTAAACAAATTCTAATCATTCGACGCACAGTACAACCACAACCTCTCCCAGATGTCCTGCTCACACTGTAAAAAAGATTTTATATACTATGAACAAAAAATCTTAATTCCATTTATTTTATGGGCCATTGCTAGGATGTATGAACGGGGCTGTTGAGAGGGGTGAAATTCACAACCGACTCTTGACTTCAGGTTGGAAAAAAATTTTGAATTCTATATTAGACTGTTAAAAACGCTTGGGTCAACTAAATATATTTTTTAATTTCTGTACCATATGTTGACTTCGATCATTACTATATAAATAATATAAATTGCATGTCATGCTGCGTATTTAACTTTACAGATTATATGAAGGTCTACTTGAGGATCCTCATATGAAGAAGCCTGAGTGGGAGGATCTCATCTGACCTGAATAATGTTTCATTATTTAATCCTCATGTTGGGGGGTTATGACCAAACTTTACTAAGTCCTGCATCACAAAGATTTGAGAAAACAAATTGTAGAATAACTATCAATAAAGATAACAAATACAGTATGCATTTTTTTGCCATCCTTGCTGAGAAATTGAGATAATAACCATTAACTACGGAGTTTGCCATGATGTCAAGTAAATATTGAAGAAATGAGAAGAGGCAGTAGTGAGTACTGTGAGTTTCACAAAAAAACTCAATAAATCTATTAATAGGTATACAACAATATTATACATATTATTTTCATCTCTGTGTATTGATATATCATTGGTAACGTTGATAGAAACGCGATTAACGAAAACCAAATTTTGGATAAATCTAGCAAAAGGTCAGAAGCAAAAATCTGGAACTTTAATAACAATTCACTAACCGTTTTGACGGAACATTAAAATAGTTTCCACTTGGTGCCATATATGTGTCTGCTGTTGGTGATGACAAACTAGACAAGGAATCATACTCCAATCGTCCGTCCTCAGGAATGCCACTATCTCGCTTGGCTCTGTTACCTGCATTATATATTTGAAGGTAAATAATAGAAGCTTTTGTGTCCTGACGCTGGTTATGGAATGCCTTTGGAAAATCAATTCAGTTTATAGCCAACACCTGTACTCTCGTTAGCAAAAAATATAACTCAGATTCCCTTAGCAGTGTTGCAAAAAAAAGGCGGATTAAACTCTGCGCTAAATCCTGATTTTGTTTCAAACAAAAAATTCAGACATCGAAATCAGACAAATTTGAAATGCAACTCTATAGTGAATAGTTGAATAATACATTAAATAAAAATGATACGAACTCCATGAGCATAATATGCATCACAACTGTACAAGCGCGAGAGAGCTGAAGAGTACACTGTGGAGAAAATAATTATAAATGCATTTTACCTATTAATGCATCGAGTTCCCTTCTCTTTTTCATTCTTTTCTGAGATGGTATCGATCCACCCAAATTTACTCGGAGAGTTGGATAGTCCAGCTTGGATGATTTAGTGCTGCGAGGATGCTAATATTTTATCAAACATTACCAGGCATCTTTCAGTCTTTTAATATAAATATTCAAACATAAAAAGAGAGATCAGAAGATACATTGATATAATGCGTCTAGCGGAAGTAAACGCTGTTGCTGCTTAAATAATGTCAAACAAAACTGTGATATGAAAATGATGTAACTGCTTAAATAATGAAATAATAGCAACAGAATAACGCCCAAAAATGGGAAGTAAAATTTTTGGTTTTGTGTAAAGAACTCTGTTTGGCGCGAAATGAAATTCTTGCAGTCTTGCCAGACACCTACCGGTATCAGTTAAAATCAAACCAATTCAATATTCAACTAAGCAGCTATCGACACCCTATTTTGCATGTTATGGTACAGTCAGCAATCTGCCACTGTCTGACTGTAGAGCAGATTTTCTCAAACTGCTAAACTGTATGCCGGAGCATTTTGGAATTTTAGAAAATTGGATTAAGCTATTCGTATTACACATAAGCATGCATGGGCAATCTTGTGAGTACGCATTATTCATTATTAGACTGATAATATTATAGCAGTTGCCTTATCGTTGTAGTACAGGGGTGGGCAAATTACGGCCCGCGGGCCGGATCCGGCCCACTTTAGTGTTTTATCCGGCCCACTTGTTCGTGCTGAAATTAGGCTATAGTTTTCATGTATAAAAATTATCGTTGAAGAGATCGGAAAAACAACAAATCGTCCGCAATTGTAAATATTGTAGTTCCACACGTACTATCAGCCCTGAATATAAACATAAAACCGTCTGAATAATTTCTGTACAATAATTCAAAACGCCAGCTCCTGACATATCAGCATTTTGGTCTGCATTTTGCTACGCGTGAGTCCGTGGATATCTCAATACATTTTGTTTACTTTTGTCTAGTACAGGGGGGGAGGGGGAAAAGGGAGCGACGGAACCTCGTTTCAGTTGTTTTTCAAAGCAGGCACACACATCGCATTAACATTTGCTGGATAAATTTGTTTGAAGCTAAGGTAACTTTATTTTTTTACAAGTGTGCCGCAAAATTATATTCATTCTTCATTCATAGTGCGCCGCGAGCAAAAAAAGTTTGAGAACCACCGCTGTAGAGACTGCAGTAGCGGTACGGAGCAGGGTTGCCAGACCCCAGCGATCAAAAAAAGCCAAATCAAGACATAAAAAAAGCCAGATAAAGCCAAAAATTTTACTAAGTACAAAAGCCCCATGATTTGTCAGATTTTAAGCCTTTGGCAACGTACTGATGATGATGTAGAGCCATCCGATCATTTAGTGAGGCACACAAATAAAAAGTAAAGTTCCTATAGAACTGTAGAAAGTAAAATAAATATCAAGCGGACAGCATTATTTTACCATTCAATACCGGTATACTGTATAGTGTATACAATACCTGAATACAGGGTGCCGCTTCAGTCTGTCAGTACTGCAGTAGGTACGGTATGTAATATACCTACATGTTTCTACTTGAACTTGTGATAGGCTATACCTTAAAAATCAGGCATAATAAAAATTAAGTTATACGTAGTAGTTTGGTATATAGGCGGTTATCTGGTTATACAACTATTTTTTAAAACTGACAAATAACACGCAAAACCATAAAAACGAGGCAATGTTTACAACTCTGCTTGAACATCTGTATGTTATATATCAAAAGGGGTGTATGCCGCACATCTGTGTTTTAGGCCAATATGGTCTTGTGCATACATCCCGTCTTCAGTATTTATAATTACTTAATACCGGTACCGGTATTGGGTATGGTTAAGATAGTAAGAGTTAATGCATAATGTAACAAACAAGAAAATCGATGCTCCAGGAAATCCTAATGTTAAGTACCGGTAGCTAAGTACAGGTAATAGGCTATTGTTCAGTTGTAACACACTAAATATTGTATATCATATGATTTTATAATAGACACTAGAATAGATCTGAAAAAAGCCAAAAATGGCAAATTTGGCGTTGAAAAAGCCAATATGGCAACCCTGGTACGGAGTCTTCACAAGCACAACTAATGCGAAAGCAGAACTGCCACAGGGGGTGCAATTTTTTACGTCATCGAACACACATACGAATTACGAATCCCGTAGAGCAGTGGTTCTTGGACTTTTTCGAGCGCGACCCAAATCTGAGATTTATGAATACTCGCGACCCAATCCCAAACAGCGTGAAAATGTATTATTATTGTTAGACTGTTAGTACTCTTTGAGTCAAATGCAGACAACGATTTATTAGAAACAGTTCATTGACTCGGTGTGATCAATGACTTTAAACAATTGTTGTTTAATGTCATTGGTGTGATAGTAGTATATATTTACGGTGTGATTGATGAGACTGGAATTTCCCTTCCAATATATCTACAATACATGGCTCTATTTTGATCAGCTTAATGCGCATGTCGTCACCACGATCGAGGCGATTGCGAGTCGCCTCCGATCTGGATATATGCGCCTAACATCGGCCTGGTGCCAAATTTTATTTTCTACCCTAAAAGTTTTATGTGGATGGTTGTACATTGAGTATGAATTGTGCCTTATAATTCGTACATAGAGGTTGCATAATTTAATTTTTCTCATCAAATAAAATGATCGCTCAATTTAATGTTGCATATGACAATATATAAAAATTTAATCGCTGCAATTGTACAAAAACACAGCTGAATGATATGGTGATTTATTTTTATAATTACTGTATATCAATTGAATTTTCCCGACTTTTATTTTTACTTTCTCTCCCAAATCATATATAATGATTCATATCAACCTTGTTGGTTAATTTATGAATGGATAAGCTTTTATTTGTGCATATTGCTTTCACTTATTGGACACGTAGTGGACATAACGATCGTTTCAATATTATGTTGTTGTTGTTCTTGTTCTTGTTGTTCTTTGACACGTTTTTAAAAAGTCGCTTTTCTCTTCGAATACTGGACCAATTGCTTTGAAATTTTCAGTGGTTAAAGATTAATTTTTTCGCTAGAAGGCTATTACTTTTGTTTGTTCTTAAATTTTATATGAATCCTATAAGATATGATATTTCATACAAAATTTCGCGGTATTTATTTTTACTCATGGGAACACTGTTTTACACTTATTTCAAGCGGTTTCGCGATCGATTGTCTTGCTCAGTACTACAGCTACTGTAGGTCGGTACTGGTAAGTTGCCATACAGCACAGGTACCGTAACGCAGTGAAATTGACTTATTCCTTCCGCGGTATTACTAATGCTGCAATGCAAGTTTTATAGCCTATCGTATGCGGAACGGAATATCAGACCTACAGGTTCGGTACCGGTACTGGTAGCTCAGTACGTAAGTACGATACTGGTACTGGTATATTACCACAATGAAATTACCGTAACTTATTCTTTCACGGTCCTACCAGTGCAGTAATGCAAGCGTTGTAGCACTTGTAGCCTACTATATTTGTTTATTTTGATGAGAGTCTACTGGAAACAACATAAAATTTGAAAGGGAAGAATTGTTCTGGGATCAATTATCTGTCCTAAAGTGTAAACAACATAAAATTTGCAAGGGAACAACTGTTCTGTGATCAATTACCGTATATGGCCTACAGTGTACAGGTAAGATGCTGCCTGACTGCTAACTCAGTACCGCCTGACATGTTTTTAAAAAGTCGCTTTTCTCTTCGAATACTGGACCAATTGCTTTGAAATTTTTAGTGGTTAAAGATAAAAATTTTCTCCAGAAGGCTATTACTTTTTTTTTCGCTATGACGTCATCAAAATTATGTGACTCTACGTGTCCATATATTTGAGCATAGCTCTCTTGTTTCAATTTTTTATTATTGACTCGTTTTTAATCTTGGTGTCGCAGACTTGTGATGACCATTCCTGGTCCTTCGCGACTTCCTGTCAATTGCGATGAAATCCGTTACTGTATTTGAAATGTACTGTAATACTGAATTTGTATTGTGATTTCTTGCACGACGAAATAAACTTATTGTCTATTGTCTATTGAGCCTTAGTTTTAAAACCGTCAGTGCCGAAAATTCGTGCTCGTACAGATACGTGGTCGCTAATGGTAGCAGAAAATCCATTGCTTAGTTTCCAATTACTGTAGTGACTTTTTCCTTTTCCATAACTCTCCAAGTAACGCTATAATCAAAAGCTGTCGATGGAACTCGTCGTGATGCAGGTCGATAAACTCTTCCTGAAGTCCTGCAACATCCTCTGGTAAGTCGTCAACCTTCACCATAAACGGATTTCTGACCCACACCCACCACTGAGATGGCAGATTTCTGTCGGTAATATAGCGGTCTAACTCCGTGATAAGGTTTTCCAAAGGCTCCATTTGAATGGTTTTGATGACACCAAATCTGCTAATCGCAATCTGATTTCCTTCTCCCAGATACTCGTTCACGGATGGAAGTGCTGCCGTTCCATTTTTTTCTCCCAGAGTTGCATCTTTTCTCTGCTGAGAAAGTGGTGATATTTTGAATTCTGCCTTGCATCGATGTGTTAAGTATGTTCAATATGGCAAAGATGTCGTTTAAGTAACATACTTTAAGCACCCACTCCTTATCTTGGAACCCAGAGTCGTGCCGATGTTTTTTTTAATTGAGAAAGACCTGCACAAACGGGCCCCGACTCATCCTACTTATATTCGTTGCGAAACTCTGATTCTACGTACTCTAACCACCTTAAAATGGTTAACATGTACAAAGATGGATTCAAAACGATATTTTAAAACAAACTTGACCAGACATGAAATAATTGTCGTAAACAAAGTTAATAGGAAAATTTCAAACAACCGCTTTCGTACCCAAACTCAACTCTCGACAAAACATGAATTAATACATGTAAATATGCATGCGCCAGTTCACCCACATTCAACACACAAACATATATTCAAAATAAAAGACGAAGACACGAAAGGGTATCGTTCGGGCGTCAAACTTGTGTAACATAAACACTCGGCTAATCAGCTAATGTTGACAGGCGAGCTTCTTTTTTGCCTTGTCTATTCGGATTCACGTCAAAGACGGCATCCATTTTTGGTTATTTTGCTCCAATAAGATGACAATCCGCGCGGTCAACACAATAAGCGACGTGAACTGTTACCGACACCATGAAAAAGACACGTGACTGGTATCTATATAATATAAATTGTGATGCAACAATGCAATCAGGACAGTTCTTTCTGTTAATGACATTTAATATTTCATTGAATTGAAATACTCAAGCTAAGAAGGGAAATTAAGATATTCGACTATCTGAAAGATTAGATCCCTT